GCGGCACCGTGGGCGAGCCCCGCGAGCCGCGGCTGGAGGCTCGACGCCGTCCACGAGGAGAACCGAGTCGCACCGCTGGCTGCCAGAGGCTCTCAGCGCACGGCTGCGGGCGGCGCCGCCGGGGCAACACTGCGAACCCCCTGTTTCTTGAGGCCCCTCCGGGCCAAGCGCACGGCTGCGGGCGGCGCCGCCGGGGCAACACTGCGAACCCCCTGTTTCTTGAGGCCCCTCCGGGCCAAGCGCCCGGGCCGAAGAGCCCGGCATCGTCCGTCGCCTGTGCCCGAGTGCTTCCAGGCTCGGCGGCGGAACACCATGCAACCCCCGGCTTCGTCTGGCTGCCGCGAGGCCGACTGCAGGTGTCAGGCTCGCCTGATGGCGGCAGGTCGGCGATTGCCCGTGGAGGGGTCAGGAAGGTCCGCATGCGTGTCCAAACAAGTGCCCTGGTGCGCGGCGACGACATGATAGTGGCAAGCGAACAAAAACGAGAGGGAAACATGTAGAATCGCTCGTGTCGACAAGACTCACGCTCAGACCCGCTGAGACGCTGTCTTCGCCTTCGTCGTCGTCCGTCGCCAGCCCCAAACAAATTCAGAAACGAACATCAACCACAATATACGTGGTATTAACATCGAATCCCTCCCCATTGCCCCTCCTTGGCGGTGTGTACGCGTGGGGGTCCCCGGTCAGCTTGCCGCCCCCCCCCCAGGGTTCTGGCGGCACTACCCCCCTTTCCCAATCTCCCGTGTGGGCAGGAAGGACAGGGGTGGGGTTCTGTGGAACATAACCTCTTGCTGGGGTGCTTTGCTCTCTGCGTCGTCGTTGCTTCTGGCTCATTTGTGAGCATTGTCAGGCGTTTGGTTGGTCGTGCGGTCGTCCGCGTCGCCCTCGGTGTCGCCCTGGGTACTGCTACCTAGGGTTCGTTTGGCGCGGAGTGCGTCGCCTTCGCGTCCTGCTGCTCATGCGGAGCATGCGTCACTGTGTTCGCCGCAAATGTTGCGGGATAGGTTCTGTGAGCGTCCATGTCTCTGCTCCGATCAAGGCTGTGGGTGTCACTGTGCGGTTGAAAAGCCAGAGTTGGTGCGGCTCTATGGGCCCTGTGTGAGGGCCCTCTGGGGGGTATCTTGGAGGGGGATCCCAGGGAAACTCCTGTGTATGGTGGGGGAGGGTGGTCTCTGGTCAACCGCCCCCTCGAGGTCCACGCGTGTCCGGGGGGGGGCAGGGAGGTCCCACCTCAATCGAATCTCTCGGGTCGACAACACTCAGGCTCGATTCCAGTGATTGACGCCACTCAGTGGTGCAGCGGCTCAGCTCGAAGAGGTCGTTTTGGGGGCCCTCTCAGAGGTCTCTTGGGCCGTCCTGGGGCGATCTCTGGGACCGTCTTGGAGCGCCGGGGAGCCGACAAGGCGACGAAACCAACATCCGCCAGCACCCAAGGCAAATCAATACGGTTTGAAGCCAGGGCCAACGTTGTCTCCAGCGCGGGCCTTCCCATGAGACTTCCTATCGAGCAATCGCTCCGCGCCTGTGCGGGTGGCGCCCTGCCCCTGAGAAGCCTCATCCGCCCATTCGATGGCCACGGCTGGCCGGCCAACTCGAGGGCGCGCTCGCCCTTCTCGGCAACCGCCCGCCGCGTCGCGCATCTCGCGGAACAACGCCAAACCACATGCTTCCACTTCTCTGGCCCTGCTTGCATTCGCCGATGCTGGCATCGCAGACGACGACGTCGCACGCCGACTTCGACTCCGCCACTTCTCGGAGCAGCGACTGAGCCCGCTGCCCATGCTTGCTTGCTCCGCAGGCGACGATCGCAACACTGTAGTGGATGCAATTGGCCTGCGCGCCCACTCGCAATGCATGCTGGGGCATTTCCAGCGCTGCGTCCCAGTGATGTGCATCCCCGTGCTCATTGACGACGGCTCTGATGCATCCAACAAGGGTTGACCCTTTTTCGGGCAGACAGCTCAGGAGCTGCTACTGGCATTACATTGCAGATGGAAAGCCAGCTCGCACAGGCCTCGAGCCAAAGTGGCTACGGTGCATCACTGATAACCTGCTGATTGGTCGGGGATCGAGGGGTGTTTTCAGATGCTGCCTGTCCTTCTCGATCTTTTCTGGCTTGGCGTGGTCATCCCACGTCTTCTTGCCCACTTTTATGTCGAGGGTCGCAAAAGGTGGCTCCATGCCAACATACGCCGAGTCCATAACCATGAAGCCGACCTCGTAGCCTGCAACCGAGCGGACGCCGTAGAAGCCCGGCAGAAACGGGCCTCCGAAATGGCAAAAACCGTGCGCTGACAGCTTCATGCTGCTCTTTCCCCTGCTACTCGGAACTTGTGCCATCGATCCTCGAGGATCGAGGGAATGATTATTTGATAAGTTCGCTCGTTGATTAACTAATGTGTGTTGTCTTTTACTTGGCATTCTGGGGCCTTGGACCTTGGAGACCTCCAGGGTGCAGGGACTGGAGCTGAAACAACAGCCATCACTCGCTCATCTTTCTTTTCGTCCAGCTCCTCCCCATGGGGTCCGTCCTCCTCGTCCTCCTCAGAGAGCCTGGCTCCTGTCTCCGGTCCATGCACAGTGCACGCGCCCCGAACAGGCCAGGACGGCAGGTGCATTCAGCCCTACAGTGCGGACGCGGCCGCAAGAAACCCTCGCAAGAAACCCAGCCCTGAAACCCCGTGCGCGAGATGCTCACGGGGGGAAACCTGGAGCACCCCGAATGCAGCAGCTTCTCCAACGGCTGCGGGAGGTCGTCGCGCAGCGCGCGGAGCGAAGAAGCCCAGGATGATACCCTGACGAAGAGCAGATGGTTTCTTGATGCGTGCCCCCACTGTATGCTATTGAGGCTGATGAAGACAGTGGGGAGACCAAACGGTACCGATACCGCTACTCCCCGGACCTCTCCCGGGGTGCGTTCTGATCAGGATTTCGAGGAGAATCCAGCGGTGGCGACGAGGGCCGCCCAGGGGGGCCAAAACGGGGAAAACGGGCGAAGGGTAGCTGTATGGGTACCTTTTCCGCCTCTGAGATAACTAGGGGACGGTCGTCGTCGTCGGCGGAGGCGGCGACGTCGGCCGTCGTCGTCGAGAGGTGCAGCGCAGATGTGCATTTGCGCTCGGCGGCCCTGGCGCGGCCGAGGGGAGTGCGCGCCAGCGCGCGGTAGTTGTCCACCTCCACGGTTCCCTGGTCCAGCGGCTTCAGTATCTTCGTCCCGTCCTCTCGGGCCGGACGAAAGGGGGGGATTGCAAAGGGGGGGTTTTGAGAATCAGCTCACGGAGCTGATTCTCCCGGCGCCTCCCGGCGCCGGGAGGCGCCCATGTATCAGGGAATGGGCCCGGCGGCGGGGCCGAAACCAGCTGGATGCAGCAGATTCCGTAACCCCCCCTTTCGCTATCCCCCCTTTCGTTCGGCCCGATCCTCGCTGATGATCGAGCAGGGGATCGGCTACAGGAAACAAAAACTACCCCTGAATGGATTTGCTCGTCGAGCCCATGAAACATGCACACCGTGATCCGTAGATTCGACGGGCAATCAATTCTGGGCTTAGTGGGCCCTGGAAACGACAAGGCCGTTTTGTTACCGGTTCCGTTTTGCCGTTTTTTGATGGTTCCGACGCCGTTGTTTCACCGGTTCCGGCTCCGGCTCCAATCCTGGAGCCGTTTCTGTTGCCGGTTCCGGTCGCCGTCTTTTTGCCGTTCCCATTTTCAAAGGACACTTTTTCGGAAACGGTGAAAAAACGGCCCTGCCGTTTCCGGGGCCCACCCAGATTCTGGGGTACAGTCGGGGCGTTGACCTGAGGAACCCTAAATAAGGAACGAGGCCCCTATTTTCCATCAAATGAACTTCGATTTCGTATCGAAAACCTAAAGAAAATCCACGGCAAGCTGCGAAACAATTGAGGCACACGGAGCCCCTCCCCAACGAAAAGGGTTCCTTCTTCAGGGCCCCGACTGCACATCTATTCGAGATTGGATCCCCTACTCGAGATGAGCATGACCGCGTGCGCGCCGCCCGACTTGTCCGCCAGCGGCCTGCAGCGCGGCGCATTCCTCCGGTAGTACAGCGCGGCCGCAGCCGCGCCCGCCGCGACGCCCGCGCCAGCGGCCAGGGCTGCCACTGCCGCGCGCGGCGGCCCCGTGGAGGCCGCGAGCGCCATGGGTGTGCAGCCCCTCGAGCCACAATTGCACGAGGGGGACTCGGGGATGGACAGACCCCCCTGTAGTAAAAGGTGGTTCAGCGAAAACGACCTGAGGCCCAAACCTGGCGGGCACAAGCCTGGAAAAGAACGGCCACGGCGCCCTCTCGAGGACCGAAAACGGGCAATTCACTAATCGACGTGTCACTGTTGGGGGGTTCTGTCCACCCCCGACAATTGCACGAGGGGGAAGGGACGGAGAAGGGATCCAGACTTGTGCGGCTCCCATCGTACTTAAGAACCAGATCCCAGAAATCATCTCGAGCACCCAGGAGAGGTATCGAAAGAGTGTCGGACGAGCATCACCTCCCAGGGCCCCACGCGTGAAAACCCTCCAGTTTCGGCACACCTTCTCGGTGCTCGAAACTCGCTCTGGCGATCGAGGCTGAAGTACATTGGAACGTCCTAAATCCACACATGCCCGCGCCGTGGAAACAGGCAGGTACGGCGGGAACTGTTCTGGCCGTTTTTCTTCGGCTTCCCGGGGCCCCGGCTGTGCCCCGGGACCGTCAAGAAGCGACTCGCGAAGGAAAAAACCTGCCCCGGGGATGGGGGCGGGACTTCTGGGGGCCCGTTTCGCCGCCCCCCCCCCCCCAACAAAAAAAATCAGAGCACCGCATGGCTTGGGATGCTCCAGGTCGCCAAACATCGCGCCCCGCGCTCTCGCCGCCCCCTGGAGGGAGGACAGCTATGCTGGCCAGGCTGCCAAGAGCAGTTGTCGTCGCGCCACTGTGGAGGAAGCTGGCACGTGCACGCATCGTTCACTCCAGAACGAGCTGGCCAGCGACACAACATGAGGAGGCCAACTAGATGTCTGACTCAGAGGGGTCGCAAAACGATAAGCCCGATACAGGCGGGGTTGATGAAAACATGATTCTGGCAGACCGCGAGGTGACAAGTAAGACTTTTGAGCACGGTATGAGACGCGATCTGCTACCATGCTGTCCCACGATAATAATCATTCTCGCCAACCGCCGCTGCGAAACGACGATGCTTCCCGCGGCAGCAGAGCGTTTTTTCGACGAGAGTAATCACGGATTACTTCTCCTGATGTCTCTGTGCCTTCCAAGATTTAATGTTTGACACATTGCAGATGGTGGGGGGAATTCGAGACGAGCATTTTCGAAGGCAGCTCCAAGTCTCCAGAGGGTCCCTCGCGACTGTCCAGGGGAACCCATTCATTCAGAGCTCGATGAACTCTGCAGAAGACCAAAGGACGACCCTTAATAGAGACAGGCTCGCAAGCGTGCTCCCGAACAGGGGCCCTTGACTATCGATGTGCAAAATGTGTCGTGCATTCTGGATGTACGGTGCAACAGATGCGTGCCAACGTATGTGGTGCAGTGTACGCAATGCAAGAAATGTGGTCAAATAGGAGTTGTACCATATATGTGTGTTTCAAAGTACCTCGATTGGGTGCAACAGCTTGTGCAAGGTGGTGCCACCTGTGTGGTGCAACGTGTGTTGTGCAATCGATATTGTGCATCATATGTGGTGCCCCTCGGGGCGTGCGCTCAAGGGCCACTGTGACGCAAGCCATGCGATGCAAACCCTGTGTTAACGCGAGATTCTGCAATTCGCGACGTGCAGTCCACGTGGTGGCTTCCGCATGGTGCAATACGGTGAGGGCGTTGGAAAAGGAATCCAGGGTCTGGAAGCCAGTGGAAGTTCAATCGAGGAATGGCCATGGATATCCCCGCCGCCCTCATCAGGTAAGGAACCATCTAGGGTCTGAGGCCGACTGGGCGAATTCCTTCACGAACGCCCCAACCGTATACGTCGTGCCGCACACGGGTTGCAATCTATAATCCGTGGTGCACGCTGCGTGGTGCAACACATGTGCGGCACTCTCGCATGCCCCGTGCACGCGGGCGGCAACGACGCGCGCACCGGCAGACTGTGCGACAGGAAACGTCGGCCAGCGCACCTGGGCGGCAGCAGAAACGCCCACGGGCGCCCAGCCAGCCATGCGACAATCCAGAAGCGCGAGGCGACGCACGCAGTTGCCCACAAAGGGCCGCTCACTGGCCGAACCCGTGCGGAGACGCCGGCCAGCGCACGGGGCAGCCACAGGGCACCCCTGCGCCACCAGCGGCCCGAAAGACCGGAAACGCGAGCCAACGAACAAGGGCGACAGCCCAGACACGCCAGCAACTTACGTGATGTCCCCCAGCATTTGCAACGGAAGGGTACTGCACTGCGGATATGCGAGCTCTGTGGCGCAAGGTGCGTGGCAGAAGCCAGGTGGTGCAAGTAGCGCTTGTCAACTCGTCATGTGTCAACGCCACTGCTAACGCAATCATCCCATCCTCCCGCCCGCAACTTGTTCTGCAAACCCATGCAGCCGCGATTGCGATGACTGCTTGGCCATTCACGAGCGGCACACATAATCCGTATCCGCGCCGTCGCGGTCTGGATGCCGCCGCGCGATCCTGTGGGTACGCGACCGCACGGCTACGTTCCGCGCGGGGCATCCGCGAACAAAAACGCCCCATATCCGCGGGGTCGCCTTCCATGTTTCCTTACCGCGAGGCCGATGATACGGATATGATTTCCGCCCACGGGAACTGCCTTGCTCATCTCTGCGGCCACGCTGGCGCGGGCAAGGTCGCGCGCAGAGCGGCCAGCTGGTTTGGCACAACCGATGAGGCCACGGTGGCGCTTACTGGTGGCAACTTCCCAGCGCGTCTCAAAGGCCGCGCTGGCGCGCGGGCACTTCAATGTGGATCGGAGACTCGGGCGAGCGCGGTATCATGATGACGTCGGCAACAGCGGCGACGATGATGATACTAGCCATGGTGGTGAAGATGATGGCGATGACGACGGCAGGGTCAATGACGGCGCCGATGCTGCTCACGAGGATGATGATGATGATGTCTATGTGCTGGGGATGAAACTGCTCGGGTGATGATGACGGCACTGGCGGTGACTGTCGATGAGGGTGACGTGATGCGGCAGCGCTGATGGGGGTGACGAGGGTGATGGTGAGGAGGTTGACGCTGAAGATCTCCTGCGTAGCGTGTCATTGCGACCCCTGCGGCCCGCTGTGCCTTGAAAACTGATGGCGTATCGCTCTGCTTCGTGGGACCGCAGGCTGGGAACAGCTCGGAACGCTGATGCTTAGGTCTGGGACGTGCTCCTCGTGTCGCGCTGGGGCGTGGTGGGACCTCCTCCTCCTCCTCCTCCTCCTCCTCCTCCCCCTCCCCCTCCTCCTCCTCCTCCTCCTCCTCCTCCTCCTCCTCCTCCTCCTCCTCCTCCTCCTCCTCTGGCGGCGCGACGCGCTGTGCAAACGCCCCGAGCCCCCGACGGCAGGACTTGCCCACAGCGTGGGCACCCGGAAGGTCTGGACCCCGCCCCAGGGACCAGTCTTTCGACCCGGATGGTTCTCTGACTGCCCCGGGGCCCACACACTTGGCGGAGGGGGGGGGGGGGGGAATCTGGCCCGGGGCCTCTGCTTACCACGACTGTTTGCAACCTTGCGTCCTCTGGGGGATGGACTCCACCTGCTCGAAAACTTTTTGGTCGGCGGGGCGAGAGCGAACCTCTTCCGCTAAAAGCTAGGCGTACCTGCTCGAAACAGGCAGGCCCCCAAACCGCCAAGATCTACCCCACGGCGGGGGGGGGGGGGCGTGCGAGGGCCCGCGCCGATCGCCAGAACTATGGCTTGAAAGCAACCGCTGTCTTCGCTCTAACTTGTTTTCTAACTGCCCCAGGGCCCTGGGACACACATACATATATATATATATAGAGAGAGAGAGAGAGAGAGAGAGAGAGACACAAATCAGAAGATCTCCCCTATTTCAATGTATTTTCCAGGCTTTTGTCTCCCCCCCCACTTTTGTCTCCCCCCCACTGCCCATGTTTTCCTATAATTTCTGGGGAATCGACGATTAATTGTGTCTGCGTGTTTCTCCCTCCCGATTGAACCTCCGAGGGGGGCCGCCCGGCCCCGGCGGCGGGGTCGCCCGCGGGAAGGCGCCGCGGCGGGCCCCGCAGGCGAGGCAGGCGTCCGCCAGGCCGCTGTTGCTGAGGGTGCAGCAGGGGCACGTCCACTCGCGGAGGATCGCCTCGCTCACCTGGGTTTCGGGAGGCAACTGCTTAAGCGGGCGAAGAATGGTATAACATAAACTTTTCCGCCGTCGGGGACGCCTGCCCCTTGGCGGCTGGAAAAGTTATACCCCTACGGTGCCACCGTAGGGGTATAAACTTTCCGGCCGCCCAGGGACAGGCGCCCCCGACAGCGAAAAAGTTTACGTTATACCGTTCTTCGCCCGTCAACTGCTGGGAGGTTCTCGCCGCCAGGATCAAGGAGGCTTGAGCCCCATTGGGGGGCTGTGAAACCAGAAAGGGCCTCGGATGAAGCGGGATTAAGCCGGATGAAGCGGGATGAAGCGGAATTAGACCGACCGGACTAAGCGGGATTAAGCCAGGGCAACATCAGAACTTGACCTCTGCCCGTGCTCCTGCTCAGGACCT